GAAAGAAAAGGTGAACACAGTTCTTCAAATCTTATGCAATTGTCCCGGCCCGGGTAGACTAAAAGCCCATTGTCGTGTATGGATGTCAAAAGAATACGTGACTCCCTCTCTGTACAATGTTCTTAAAGGACTTGTTTAGCATAACCTTACATTTGTACAAATTAACCTAACATTTTTAAAGTTTGCAATAAATATTATAGTTTGTTTCACATAACCTTACTTAACCTTAAAATTTGCAATAAATATTTTAGTTTTTCGGATTAATTCTATATCAAACTTATTTTTTTAGAAGTTATTAACAGTTTTAGCTCTTTAGTGAGATAGTGACTATTATGCAAATTTCATAATTGTAAAAAAAAGAAAACTTTACATTATAAAAGTGCAAATTTCCCTAAACATTTATACTCTCAATATTCTAATGACTTGTAAAAAATCAGTATGTACACCCTCAAAATCTTTTCTAAAGTCACTTAACAATAAACTATCTTTTACTTGCATTTGTTTTGGAACCAACAAAAAGAAATCTTTCAAGCAAATGTACATAAATTTTTTGGTAATTTTTTTCTCAATACATTTTTTTAATAAAAAAATTTTAATTTTTCTCTTTACATTTCTTACGCATTCAAGAAAACATTTTTTCATAAATCATAAAAAAAATCAAAATTATGGAAAATTGTTGCACATTTTCGATTTTGCCAATTAAATAAAGTTTTCATTCAGACTTGTACACAAACCCGCACACACATACATATGTATGTATGCATGTACGTATACAAATAATAGATACTAGATTTTAGCACATTATTTGCAATGTGATTATGTTTTTCGTTTTTTACATTTTTTGAAGGCAACAATCGTCCATAAGTACGAAATGGTTAAAATATACATACCTTAACATATGGTCATCGCCGACTGGACTGCGTAGTTGACCATCTTCACTGCCTGACATATCGTCGTTAGGCATATAAAGTGCAGTTCACAGATAAGCTAGGAAACGTTAACAACAGCAGGAAGGAAAAAGTATTCTTCCTTTGCAACAATTTTTGGGCTCAAGGGATGCTCCGCTAAGCGCGTCACCCGACCTTCAACAAACAACGAATTATTGAGTGGTGGTACGGCACACACACACGTCTTTGTCTGGCTGACAAAGGAATTTTCTTTTTTCAATTTTTCGTTTTTTTATCTCAAAAACTAGGCATCACAAATATATTCTTGTTTATAAAGTAACATTCAATATTGTATTGTAATATTCTTTATAGATTTTGTAAAAATCTTTAGGTTTCTTTCCAGAATAAATTCACAAAAATGTTGAAAATTTTGTAGATTTTCCGTCTGCTTACAATGAAAAGGTTATTTTTCTTTATCAATAAACGTTTATGCCAAAAGTGTCAAATCAAAAGCCCAGGGTTGTATTCCAGAGGCCAGTGCCGACAAATATTAACAGCGGTGACTTACAATCTGCTTTAAACGGTTAAGTTTTCAGTTATTTTTAAATTTTCAACGATTTTAAATAATTTAAAGCTGAAACCGAGAGATAAATAAGTGGGATTTTTATTTTGGGAAATTTGATTTAATTAAAATTTTTAGATCTAGAAACATTAAATATTCTAATGGTGTGTTATTTGGAACCCCGATATTAAGTGATATTTTTTGGTACTTTTATATTCTCTGGTACTTTTTTGCGTTTTTTATAAATTAAATCTAGAAACATGACAAATATGATTTAATCTCAGGAAATTGGTACCCTTAGGGTTCTCTAAATCTACTTTAAAATAATCGAAGAATAGACTTTTTTCCTAACAAAGTCGATAGATCGACTATTTTGTAAGAAAAAAGCTTTTTTCCAACAAAAGTTAAATAATTTTTATTTAATTATACAAATTTTAAAAAATTTCATACTTTTGCTTAGAACCCTACCATTTATGTTTTTTTAGTACTCGTTGGTTTGTGTCTAAACTTAATTGTATATTATGTTTTCTATCTACATTCTAAACATTGTACAGAGTTATTATATATGAAAATAAACAGAAAACAGAGTTGTCATATAATTGTGCCATATTTGATAAACAATGATGCTAATAAGATGTTTCTACAGAACAAAACGCAATAAATTAGAAGAAGTGTTTTTTTCGATTTTCTGTAAATTTGAAGTGTAAAACGTTTCGTTTTTATTCGTACATTCAAATTTATTTCTAATCCTTAATTTAAAATTGTGAAAAATAATGTTTCCATTGTACAATAAATTAGTAGACATAAAACCTTGTCTACTTAACGTTATAGCTTTAAAAATCGTGAAATCTTATAAACACATGGGAAATGAATCACTGAAAATAGTTAAACATTTTCATAATGTTGAAATATATAATTAAAAAGGTTATCTATGAACTGAGATGCTTAAGCAACAAATGTTATTAAAACAGAAATTCATGCAATGCTTGGTTTGTTCAAAAAGGAAAAACAATCCAAATCCATACTTTGTTTTGTACATCAAAAATACTTCGATTTATAATAAATATTAATAATTTTACACGTTTTAAAAAACCTCCATTTCAAAGCAAATGGAAAGAACCACATTAATAACAAAATCGCTTAAACTCACAACAAAAAATAGTTTATTAACCACACTGCTGCAGCCAACTTCACGCCATTTTACAGTTTTTTTCTGTGTGGCGTTCTTTTTTCTTTCAACATAATTTAATTTTACTTAAAAAAATCTATAATTTAATTATGTTAAAATTATAAATTTATACTTTTAAAACACAAAGAAAAGTGCAGTGCATATATGGAAAATAAAATAATTGCATAATATTTGTGATAATAAGTGTATGGCAGTGAAATAAGTTTGTAAGAAAAGAAAAATTTTCTATTCTATGTGTGATTGACTGTCCGGCGGCGGCAGAAGTAGAAAAGAAGAAAAAAAAAACACGCTCAGTGACAACAACAAAGAAAAAAAGTTGAAAAATTGTCTTAAATGTTATAAAACATGGAAAACTTAAAATAAGTGATAATTTATTTGCAAATATACGTTATTTTGTTGTGGGCAATTTGGATGAGGAGGTAAGTTCGAAAGTTGTATATATTTTATTGGTATTTTGTGGATAAAATTTCTCCATGATAAAGAAGAAAAAAGAAAGAAAATTGCAAAAACAAAAAAAATTGTGGCAAAGAACAAGAAAAGGCGCTTATTATGACATTAGGTTGACATTTGGGTGTTATTTTGTTGTTGTTTTTAAACACAGGGTGTTTGAGATACAATTAAAATATAAAAACAAAGAGTGATTTATAAGGTGATGTCAGTTTTTACAACAATAATAAAGTAAAAAAAATAAAAAACCGCGAAAAAATAGACTCTTTTAAGCTAAGTTTGTTGTAAATATAGATTTGTCGATATAAATTTTTTCGTTTATACCAAGCCAAGCTATTACCCTTTTAGCAACTTTTAGATTTAATATTAATATTTTTCATCCTAATTACCTACAGGTCGAGCAATTACTTAAAAATGGAGGTGCTCAATCGAAAATCTTCCTTTCGGATTTGGTTACCCATCTCATTTGTGCTCCAAATTATACCGAAGAAGAGCTGGTTATGAATTTAGATCTCTACACGGTAATACCCGTAACCGAACAATGGATTATACATAGTGCTAAATTGGGACGTTTGGCGTCCACCAAAGCCTTTGATCCCAGTGAAGCACGTTTAATGAAAAACATTTCCGCTGCCATAGTTAATGTAGCACCCAGTGATCGTAAACGTTTATATGCCATGTTAACCTATCATGGTGCCCAGGTAACTTCCAATTTTAGTGGTAATAATACCCATCTAATAGCGGGCATGGCAATGGGTCCTGTTTATACAAAAGCCAGTGCTTTGCCCAAGGGTAGTATGAATATTGTAACACCCGATTGGGTGGTGGAATGTTTAAGACAAAAGAAACTATTACCATGTGATATTTATCATCCGAGATTGCTGAAAGTGATAGAAAGACCAAAATTATCATTGCCCCCGATAACAGCAACTGCGCCAGCAAATACTAGCAGCAACACAGCCATGAATAATCCCACAAAACCTATACAACCCACACCACCGCCACTAATCACACCTACCACAACACAGCAACAACAACAGCAGCAGCAACAATTAACACCGACTCATACACCACAACCCACACAGCCTACAGTTGAACAGACATTATCCAACATTTTAGGTTTCGATGATGATCCTTTATTAGATAAAGCCACAGAATCATCTACTTCCGTCACCTCTCTAGATGCTGCCCAAAGTATTGCGAATATAAAGTCACAATTACAAGCAGCTGCTGTACAAATAACTGCCGCCAAAGATGTTAAGACTGCAACTAGTTCAACCGCAACTACCTCCTCATCTATAGCATTATCAGCATCATCATCATCAACATCCATAAGCACACCCACCACTCCCAAACATGAGATACCATCAACAGCTACAACTTCACCGTTTGCCGGAAATATGACTGCTATGGAATCAACAACAAGTAATTTACAACAATCGCCTTTGCAACAACAGCAGCAGTTGCCTTTGCAGCAACAACAACCACAACAACAAATGCAAACTTTAACACAGCAACAATCATTAACACAAACACAGATTTTACCCCAACAACAACAACAACAAAATTTAGCACAACAGCAGCAAACTCTACCCACACAACAACAACAAATTCTACAGCAACAGCAGCATCAACAACAACAATCACAAATAGTTTTTGTTAGACCTCGTAGTTTAAATCAACAGCAACAACAGCAGCAGTTGCAGCAGCAACAACAACAACAACCACCCCAGCAATTATTAGCTGGACCCACAACTGCTCAGAGCTTGGGTAATGTTTCTTCAGTGCCACCACAAATCATTCTGCAACAAAAAGTCATACCCAATGTGGCCAATTTACAGATACAGCAACAACAAACTCTTTCCCAACTACAACATCAGCAACAACAGCAGCAGCAACAACAGCAAAATATACAACTCCAGCATCAATTAATGCAACAACCCAGAACACCACAAACCCCCACCTCTTCAAATACTCCTCTACTAGAATCACGTACTCCCACACCTACCGGCACACCACAGCCACCCAGAACACCACAACCAAACAGTGGCAGACAAACGCCACAGGCACCCAGAACACCCTCTACCACACCACAACCCCAACAACAAATGCTAGGACAATCCCCGCAGCATAGTGTACAACAAATACAAATGTCACCTTCACATCAAGCTGCACACAACAATACCCCACAACAACAACAACAGCCTAGTCCACAATCCCAACAAATGCAACAGAATCAACAACCACAACAACAGCCCCAACAACAAACCATAACCATGTCACCCCAGATGCTGCATCAACACATCCTTAGACAACAGCAAAATTTGCAACAGCAACAACAACAATTACAGCAACAAATACAAAACGGTCAAAGTTTATCACCACACCAACAGGCACTCCAACGACAAATACAACATCAACAACAACAGCTAATGCAACAGCAATTACAATTGCAACAACAGCAGCAGCAGCAACAACAACAACAACAGCAGCAACAATTACAAATGCAGCAGCAATCACCTCGAATGCAGCAAAATCCCTCTCCTGCTCCCCAAGCTCCTTCACCATCTTTGAGTAACAATACACCCTCAACTGGTAGTGGTCTCGCTCACGCTATGATGCCACCACAATCACCAAGACAATTACAATCCCCTGCACCACAAATGACACCACCACCGCCTCCTCAATCACCTGGAGCGGTTGTTGGTATGCAAACGCAAAGTACCCTTTTGTCGCAGCAACAATTGAGACAGCAATTGCAGCAAGGTAGACAGCCGCAACAAAGGCAACAGCAGGTGAGTTTGTAAATTTTCACTGAAAATTTTAAATTTCACTAAAAAACATTTTCAAAATTAAAAAACAAACGAATATTTTAAATATAAATCCAATAATCCCCTAATAATTTTATTCAATTTCAGTCTCCACAACACTTAATGTCCCCCCAACCCTTCCAACAGCCCCAACGAGTCCAACTACAAATGCAGCAGATGCAACAGCAGCAACAACAGCAGCAGCAACAATCTCCCCAACATAGGGCCTCTCCATCGGCACCACCATCTCCGCAACTACATCAACAACAATCTAAATTGATCTCAAATCAAAAACCCATTGATCCTACAGACCCAGTACAAGTGGCTCAGATATTAAGTCGTTCAGCACCAAGTCCAAATCATGAGTCACTCATTATGAGAACACAACAGTTAAAACAACAGCAATTGCAACAACAACAGCAGCAGCAACAACAACAACAACAGCAACAACAACTAATAACAAGTCCTGTAAGTCAACAACAGAGTAGTGGTGGTGTTCAACAACAGCAACAACAACAGGGAAATGCTGCTCAAAGACAAGTGATTAATACTTCAACAGCTCAGGGTCAACAAATTATACAAAGTCATATGATGAATATTCATCAACAACAGCAACAGCAGCAACAACAAAAACAGCAAATGGTACAATTACAGCAACAACAACAGCAACAGATTTTGCAGCAAAAAACTGGTTTAATATCACCTCAACAGCAGCAACAGCAACCAACACAGATACAACAACAAGTTATAATACCACAACAACAGCAGCAGCAACAGTTACAACAACAGCAACAATTGCAACAGCAGCAACAAACTTTGCAACAACCCAACCAACAGCAATTACAATTTGCCAGTCCCACGTCCGCTCCCCAACAACAGCAACAACATGCTTCTAATATCAGCACAGTAACAGGCCCCGGAGGTGTTAGAATTATACAACAAACTATACAAGCACAACCGGGTTTCCCGGGCGCACAACAACCCCAACAACAACAAACACAACAAATTTTGCAACAGCGCCAAACTCAATTGCAACAGCAACCACAAATACAACAGCAAATCATAACACAACAACAATTGCAAAGTCCTCAACAACAACAACAACAAACGGGACAATTGCAGCAGGTACTTAACGCCAATGTGGGTGTGGCTCAAACTCCTCAAACACCCAATAAGCCGAAATATATTATTAGCCAGCAGCAATTTAATCAGTTAACACCCCAACAACAGCAACAGATTTTACAGCAAAATCAACAAAATCAAAACTTTTTCATAGTTAATCAAACAAACGTAACACAACAGCAGCAGCAGCAGCAACAACAGCAGCAGCAGCAGCATCAACAACAAGTAGGACAACAACAAATTATACAGCAGGTGGCACAAAATCCCAATCAACTTATCAAACAACAACAGCAGCAACCACCTCCTTTATATGCTCAAAGGCAACAGCAGCAACCACAAACACAACAGCAATTATTAGATTTGGAGGGTAATCTATTACAATCTCCTCAGCAGCAGCAGCAACAACAACAACAGCAGCAACGTATCTTATTGCAGCAGCAACAGCAAACACCCAATGTTTCCCCTCAACAACAGCAGCAGCAAATTGTTATTAATCAACAGATAATTAATAATCCTCAACGTTTGCAATATTTGCAACAGCAACAACAATTACAGTTTCAGCAAAAACAACAAATGCAGCAACAGCAGCAAGCTCCCAATGCTATTGTTGTAGGACCTCAACAACAACCAGTGCAACAGCAAATAGTACAACAACAAATATTGCAACAAAGTCCTCAACAGCAACCACAACAGCAACCAATTATCATACAACAAACCATACCACAGCAACTAGTGCAAGGACAACAGCAACAACAATCCATACTACAAAGTCCCCAACAGCAGCAACAACAACAAATTCTGGTACAACAGCAAAAACAATTACAAATGCACCAACAACTAATAGACAACCAACAGCAACAACAACAAATTATCTTACCACAACAACAACAGCAGCAGCAACAACAGCCCTTACAGCAAACAGTTTTAATACAACAACAGCAATTAAACCAACAAACTCCCACTCCACAATCTCCTCAACAGCAGCAGCAACAGCTAACACAACAGCATCAACAACAAATTCTAATACAACAAGAATCTCCTCAGCAGCAAACACAGCCACAACAAACACATTGGTCTCCACAAAGTCCGGCTCAGCAGCAACAACAGCAACAACAACCAGGAACCCCAGGCTCCATAACCGGCCTACAATCCCCCCTGCAGGGACAACAATCACAAATTCAACAAATCATACCACAGCAACAACAACCCCAGCAGCAACAGCCACAATTCATACGTACAGTACGCCCTGCTGGACAGTGGCAACAACAAGGTCTACCACCTGGCACTCCTCAACCACAAAGACAACTCATACAGCTGGACGATAAAACCCATGCTCATTTCATGTCTCTGGATCCCATTAAACGGGCTGAATACATTTCAAAACTACAGCAATCTAAACAAAGGGTAATGGTTAGACAACAAGTGGCCTATCAGCCTAGACCAGGAGCTCCCAATGTAGTAGCCAGTGCTCTAGGTACAACACCCCGACCTGCTGGTCCCACCACACAACACATCATAGTTCAAAGTCAAATGCCGGCAGGTCTAACGCAACAACAACAAATGCAATGGTTACAGCAGCAACAAAGACAGGTTGTGGTTAGAACAGCGGGAAATCGAGCTCCTGGTCTTACACCCATTGCTCAGCAACAAGTTATTACTGCTGGTGGTACTCCGGTCAGTATAACACAACAACAATTACAACAACAGCAGCAGCAACACAATGTTCAACAGCAGGTGTTTAACCCCAATGATCCCAATCAACAGATGTTGTTGCAAAGACAACAGCTAAGAGTACAATTGCAACAGCAACAACAACAACAACAACAACAACAGCAGCAACAACAAATGTTGGGTCAAAAGCCTCAGCAAACGGTACAGGTTATTACCGGTCCGGGTGGTCAGGTTATAGAGCAGCAAACTATAATACAATCACAGCCGGCGGGGGCTCAACAGATTGGCCAGACTATACAAGGACAACAAGGTAAGAGAGTATTACTTTTTCCGATCTTTCATCAAAGATGTGATCATTCAATTTATCGACAACATGAATTTTCTATAGAAAATTTATCGATAACATGAATTTATATACAAAATTTATCGATAACATGAATTTTCTATTGAAAATTTATCGATAACATGAATTTTCTATAGGAAATTTATCAATATTTTCAATTTTCTATTGAAAATGTATCAATATTTTTTAAAAAGTTATTGATCTTTTAGAATTTATCGATGTTTATTTAATTTTTTTTTTAGAAATTTTGTTGATAACTTTTTCTATAAAATTTTCTCGAAACTTCGGATCTTTTAATAAAGATTCGATCTTTGACAGAAATTTAGATATTTCACTAAAAATTCCTTTCCTATAGGTACGGGCAATATAATTACTGCCTTAGCTCCACAAACAGTACTCATGCCCAATCAAGGCACTGCTACCATGGATGGTCAACAGCTGCAGCAGCAACAACAGCCCGGTAATCTGCAACAAACACAACAACAAATGAATTTGAAAACTAAAACGGCCCTTGCCAACATGTTAAGCAATCGTTTGGGTGGAAGCAGCAATGCTATGCAGATGCAAACGCAAATTGCTGGCGTACAGCAACAGACGCTAGTGCAACAACAAATACAAATGCAAGATCCTAACCAGCAGCAACAGACAATGTCACAACAGCAACCACAAATAATACAACAAACACAAGTTGTAGTAGCAGGACCTCAACAGTTGCAGCAGCAACAACAACAGCAGCAGCAGCAGACGCAGCAGCAATTGTTAATGGGTCAACAACAACAACAACAGCAGCAACAATTAAACCAACAGGGCGTAATGAATGCTATGCAAACCCAACAACAACAGCAAGTAGTGGAGGCTAGTGCTGCTGGCACTTTGCGCATGATGACTCAACAGCATAATGCTGCTTCTTTGCAGCAACCTGCACAACAAGTTGGTGCTACGACTGCTGGTGCTACTGTTTCTAGTGTTGTGGGAGTTCCACGCACTCAGCAGGAACTATTGCTACTACAGCAGCAACAACAGCAACAGCAGCAACAACAAATGCGTAGACCCATTTTACAGACCCAAATGTCGGCCACAGGTCCAGTAGCTGTTAACAATATTATTGCCGCTGGTGTACCACCACAACAGGCTGTGCAACAACAGCAGCAACAACAAGCTGTGCAGCAGCAACAACAGATTGTTCAACAACAATTGGTAGTTGCTGCTGCCGCTCCTGGCAGTGGTGGTGGTGCAATTCAGCAGCAAGTGGTAGCAGCTCCTGGAACTGCTGTACCCGCTGGTGTTATGACACCAGCCGGCTATGTACACCAGGGCCGGGTTACTCAACTGCCCATGCCGCCACGTCCTCAATTCTACGGTCATAATCCAAATTTAAAACTGCCACCTGATCTATTCCTAGTCGGCTGCACTTTTTACATAGTAGAGGAATATGAAGAAACCGATGGTGAAGAATTACCTATATGGATGGAAACTATTAGACAATTTGGTGGTGATATAGAAAAGAACTATTGTCCACGTGTTACCCATGTCCTGTGTCGCACCCAAAGACATGGTGTTGTCATGCAGGCTCTACGCGATGCTAAACGTTGCATTACCGCTTACTGGTTAAGTGATATTTGTCTGAAGAAACAATTACTACCACCCTGGCAACCTCTTCATCTACCCTTTCCCTCACAGTTTGGCTATCAGAAACCGCTGGAACGGCATATCATAGCTGCCAATGGTTATGAACCCGAAGAGGAACATCGTATTAAACAAATGGTCCAAGAGTGTGGCGCTATTTATACTTCTTATTTATCCAAATTACATACCGTCTTGGTGTGTAAAAAACTGGAGGGTGAAATGTTTAATGCAGCCAAAGAATGGAATATACCGGTGGTCAATTCTTTGTGGTTGAGTGATATCACAATAGGCAATTTGAGTTCAATGTCACAGTATGACAATCAAAAGTATCAACAGTATAATATAACACCGCCATTCCGTATTGATTATGGTCTGGTGCCGCATTTGATGGGTAAGTGGAAAAGATTTTAGAGTTGCCAGATATATTTCAGTAATTTTTTAGACAAAATTTTAAAAAATCGATAAATTTTCTAGAGAAAATTCAATGTTTTAAAATTAAAAATATCGAACAAAATAACGATAAATTTTCATTAAAAATTCATATTATCGATAAAATATCTGAAAAAATTATTGTTATCGATAAATTTTCTTTGAAAAAAATTATGTTATCGGTACATTATATAAAAAAATTCACGTCATCGATAAATTTTCTTAAAAATATTAATGTAATCGATAAATTTTATTTAAAAATTAATGTTAACGATAAATTCTGTGAAAAAAATTCATGTTATCGATAATTTTTTTTTAAAGAAAATACATATTTTCGATAAATTTTCTTTAGAATTTTAATGTTATCGATAAATTTTGTTTAAAAAGTTTATGTTATCGATAAATTTTCTTTAAAAAAATTATGTTACCGATTTTCTGCAGAAAATTAAAGTTATCGATAAATTTTCTATGAAAAATGCATGTTATCGAAAATTATTTCATACGAAATTTGTGTTATCGATAACTTTTTTATAGAAAATTTAAGTTATCGGTAATTTATCTTTATATAATTAATATTATCGTTAACTCTTTATAGAAAATTTAAAGTTTTCGATAAATTTTGTTGAGAAATATTATGTTATCGATAATTGCTCTTTAAACAAATTATGTTACCGATAAATTTTCTATAGAAAATTAAAGTTATCGATAAATTTTCTGTAGAAATTAAAGTTATCGAAAAATTTTCAATAAAAAAATTATGTTATCGATAACTTTTTTATAGAATATTCATGTTATATAATTTTTTAAGAAAATACATTTTACCGATAACTTTTGATTAGAAAATTTAAGTTATCGATAAATGTTCTTTAAAAAATTTATGTTATCGATAAATTTTCTGTAGAAAATTTAGGTTATCGATAAATGTTCTTTAAAAAATTTATGTTATCGATAAATTTTCTGTAGAAAATTCAGGTTATCGATAAATGTTCTTTAAAAAATGTATGTTATCGATAAATTTTCTGTAGAAAATTTAAGTTATCGATAAATTTTCTTTATAAAATTAAATATATCGAAAACTTTTCTAAAAAAACTTCATGTTTTTTATGGAAATTTAAAGTTATCGATAAATTTTCTTTAAAAAAATTAAAGTTATCGATACATTTTCTTTATAAAATTAAAGTTATCGATAAATTATCCATAAAAAATCATGTTATCGATAACTTTTTTATAGAAAATTTTTGTTATCGATAACTTTTTATAGAAATTTCATATTATCGATAACTTTTTTTAGAGAAAATCCATGTTATCGAAAACTTTTTATAGAAAATTCATGCTATCGATAACTTTTTTTATAGAAAATCCATGTTATCGAACATTTTTTTATAGAAATTTAAAGTTATCGATAAATTTTCTATAGAAAATTAAAGTTATCGATAAATTTTCTATAGAAAATTAAAGTTATCGATAAATTTTCTACAAAAAACTTATGTTATCGATAAATTTTCTTAAAAATATTTTTTTTCCTTTTTAGCTGCCTGGAAAGCTCCCATCAATCTTACCCAAGATGCACATGAACGTGTTAAACGATATTTGGCCGATCCCTATTATGAAAAGGCCAAAAGACAAAAGATTTCACCCTATCAAGAAGAATTACCCGAAACCATAGTCTGTGTGGAATATCCACAAACTGCTAAACCGCCAAAAGTATTATTTTCACAAGTAGCTGATCCGGAATCACTCAAAAAGGCTGTACTGTAAGTAAAATGCAAAAACACATTAAACACACAAATCTAATAAAACTTTTACTACAGATCTCTGGGCGGTATTGTGGTAGACAATCCCTCGGACGCCACCTACTTGGTAATGACTTGTGAAAGTCGTACCTGTAAACTTATACAAGCGGTGTGTCATGTTGATTATGTTCTCAAATCCCAATGGGTTGTGGAGAGTGCTAAAGCGGGCAAATTTCTACCTCCCGAAAACTATAAAATACAATATATACCTGTAGATGAAAATCTTAAATTCCATTTGGACACGGTATTACAGTCTAACACACGTTCTACTTTATTTGCCGGTCGCTATTTCTATGTTACACCCGATGTTTTCCCTGCTCGTTCCGAAGTAGTACGCATGATTGAATCCTCGGGCGGTAAGGTAGAAGAGAAACGTCGCTCTTCCCAGGCTATAGCAGAAACACATAACCAATCCCCCGAATCTTATATAATAGTAACATGTCCCAATGACATGCATTTATGTGTGGATCTAACACGTTTTGGTAATCCCAAATGTCCCATAGTATCGACTGAATTTGTTATGAGTTCTATACTTAAGCAGACGCTTGAAATAGAACCGCATATTATACCCTATCTGTACAATAACAATAATAATATTAATTATGGTGGTAATAAAGCTTCATCCAAATAGCCTTTGCTAACAGCCACACAAGAAGCAGAAGATCCACATGAATTTGAAACTATTAGCGAGTTATTTTTGCAAAAATATTTAGATTTGGAACCACTAATGGAAACATTTTATTCCTAGAGAATAAAAGAACCGAAAACCATGTACATTTATCATTTCATTTATACATTTTTTTTTCGCATTCACAAACATTTCTAAGTCCTGTACATAATCATTCATGTAAAATAATTTGTGCATTAAAAAGTAAATAAAATTTCTAAAATTTTATATTCTTTTTTTAAACTTGTAAAAAAACAAAAAAAAACTTTAGAATTATACATTAATTTTAAGATTTTTGAAAGCCTAGTTTTCATAAAAATATACATTACATTAACATTTACCTAATAATCATAATATAAAGGCTTATTTATATTTTTGTATACGATTATAAAAACAAAATAGATTTTAAGCATTTCAAATTGAAATTAAATAGTTACATATTTAATTTGTAATGGAATTTCTTAAATGTAACATAAAACAAAAAAATCCTTATTAAAAAAAAACTCAGCATACGAAATAATAATAATATATTTTCATATAAAAAAAATAAAACATTTCAAACAAAGTATACGTTTAATGGGGGAAGGCAGTACTTAAAGAAAATTTATCGATAACTAGAGTTTTCTACAAAAAGTTATCGATAACCGGAGTTTTTTATAGAAATTGTTCTCTTAAATATCATCGATAACAGTAATTTTATAGACAAAATTTATCGATATGTAGTTTTTTATAAAAAGAAAGCTATCGATAACAAGAAAATATTTTCTCTAGAAAATTTATCGATATTTTTAATATTCTATAAATTTTGTATAGAAAATTTATCGATATTATGAATTTTCTAAAAAAAATTTATCGATATTTTGAATTCGCTATACGAATTTTATCGATATTTTGAATTTTATGTAGAAAATTTATCGATAACATGAATTTTTAATAAAAAGTTATCGATAACTTGAATTTTCTATAAAAAAAATTAACGATAACATGAATTTTCTATAAAAAGTTATCGATAACTGGAATTTTCTATATAAATGTTAACAATAACAGGAATTTTCAATAAAAAGTTATCGATAACAGTAAATTTCAACAAAAAAGTTGACGATAACAAAATTTTTTCTTTAACTAATTATCGATAACTGGAATTTTCTCTAGGAAACTTATCGATAACAAAAATTTTCTCTAGAAAAACGATCGATAAGAAAAACGATCTATAAAAAGACACCGAAAACATGATTTCTCTATAAAAAAGTTATCGATAACATGAATTTTCTATAGATAATTTATCGATAAAAATAATTTTATTTAGAAAATTTATCGATAACATGAATTTTCCACAGAAAATGTATCAATAACTTGAACTTTCTATAAACAAGTTATCGATAACATGAATTTTTCTTTGTAAAATTTATCGATAACATGAAATTTATATAGAAACTTTTTCGATAAAATGAATTTTCCATAAAAAGTTATCGATAACATGAATTTTCTATAAAAAGTTATCGACAGTATAAAGTTTTTATAAAAAGTTATTGATAGCATAAATTTTTTATAAAATGTTATCGATAACAGGGATTTTCTATAGAAAATTTCTATAAAAAGTTACCGATAACTTGAATTTTCTATAAAAAATGTATCAATTACAGGAATTTTCTCCAGAAAATTTATCGATAACGAGAATTTTCTATAAAAATTTCAATTTTCTATAAAAATTTTAACGATAACAGGAATTTTCAATAAAAAGTTATCGATAACAGTAATTTTCTATATAAATGTTAACAATAACAGGAATTTTCAGTAAAAAGTTATCGATAACAGTAATTTTCTATAAGATATCATAAATAACAGGAAATTTCAATAAAAAAAGTTGACGATAACAAAATTTTTTCTTTAACTAATTATCGATAACTGGAATTTTCTCTAGGAAACTTATCGATAACAAAAATTTTCTCTAGAAAAACGATCGGTATGAAAAACGATTTATAAAAAGACACCGATAACATGATTTCTCTATAAAAAAGTTATCGATAACATGAATTTTCTATAGAAAATTTATCGATAAAAATAATTTTATTTAGAAAATTTATCGATAACATGATTTTTCCATAAAAAATGTATCAATAGCTTGAACTTTTTATAAAAAAGTTATCGATAACATTAATTTTTCTTTGTAAAAGTTAGCGATAACATGAAATTTATATAGAAAGTTTTTCGATAACATGAATTTTCCATAAAAAGTTATCGATAACATGAATTTTCTATAAAAAGTTATCGATAGTATAAAGTTTTTATAAAAAGTTATTGATAGGATAAATTTTTTATAAAAAGTTGTCGATTACAGGGATTTTCTATAAAAAATTTCTGTAAAAAGTTACCGATAACTTGATTTTTCTATAAAAAATGTATCAATTACAGGAATTTTCTCCAGAAAATTTATCGATAACGAGAATTTTCTATAAAAATATATTGATAACTTGAATTTTCTCTGGAAAACTTATCGATACGGATTTAAAAAAAATACCGATAACCTAAAATTTCTATAAAAACTTATCGACAACAGAAGTTTTCTCTAGAAAATTTATCGATAATATGAATTTTCTATAAAAAAAGTTATCGATAACATGAATTTTCTACAGAAAATGTATCGATAACAGGATTTTTCTTTAGAAAATTTATCGATAACAAGAATCGTCAGGATATTTTATATGTTTATTTAAAATTTTAAATTCTCTATAGAAATCATTCCGATATATTGGATGTTCTTTAGAAAATTATCGATATTTTGATTTTTTTAAAGCAAAAAAAAAAAACACCATTTTTTATGAAATTTATATTTATTTGATGAAAAACGTATTTTACAATTTTTGCAAAAATATTTTTACCTCAATAAAAATAACGCAAATTTCTTTTTAAAACATAATTTCGTTTTACAAATTTTTCGAATTAAATATTTGCAAATACTTTTTTATTATTAATTTCTAAATCTATATAAAAATATTAAATAATATAATTAACTATTTTTTTACTTAAAATACCTTCAATACTTAAAGGAAACTAAAAAGCTGGCTTTATGGCCTATAACAAAACAAAGCCCCTTTTACCAAAAATGATTACAGTACAAAACATAGTTTCCCCAGTTTTAACTTAACCGCTAGTGTTTGAATATAATTCGATCATTATAAAGACATTTTTTAGGTAGACCACAAATAGAAATAGGTGGACTGCCAGTGGGGAATGTAGTCACGCAAGGGACCAGCCACCATTTTAGCAATGGGCACATTATTGGCTATGAAACCTAATATACGTTCTAGACGCGTTTGAGTAAAGCGTTCATAGAAAGGTGTCCTCATAAGATAGAGTAAAAGATTAACACAACGATGTGATAAGATAAGCTGTTGTTGTTTCGTCATAAGATGGCGATTTTTACGATACATATTAATGCTGGCCATATCTACAGCGAAAGAAACCATAAACTGTTTCCAGGAGCTTTCACCGAAAACACCCATGGAAGCCAAATGTATTAAAGGCTTAGCTATATATAAATATTCGGCTTGCAATAAAACCTTGGGTACTTGAGATTTTTGCATTGTTTCAATTTCTTCATTTAACTTAAAGGAACGATACTGTAAGGGGGGAGCTCCTTCTACTTTACGCACTATACGTCCAGATCTTTTCAATTTAAAAGTGATATTATGCTCTTCTAAAGAGTGAGAATGACCAGTTGGTGCCGCACTAACACTGGGACTAGCATGTTTGTTCCTTTTCAAAGCTCTCCTATTAAGAGCCGGCATAGCCGGTGAAGTGATAATTTGTTCTACGGAATGTTTTAAAATAAAATAGCGACCAGCAGCTTTCATCATCTGTATGCCGGCTATAACCAACCACTTGCCCTTATTGCCAAACACCCGTTTAGCGGAAATCTCTATAAAAACTTCACAGTATTCGAGTGTGGTCAACATGACCTTTAGACGATAACAAAAACCACTTGAGCCGGACGATGTTGCAATTTCACCTGGCACTTTCTCACCCTTTTCCAGGCGGTCTTGAGCTATAATGCGATCATTGTATAAAACCAATAGATTGGAGAGAGAATATATCAACTCAGTGGCCACGCTGGAATCGGATATGCGTCCTAATAGTAGAGAAATTTGTTTAACAATACAATTGCATTGGAATTTTGTTTTCTTCACCCACCTGCTACAAAATACGAGACCCATTTTGCTGTGGTTTCTACATCGCATACAATATCGGGATTTTTGGCCACCCATGCCTCATAGGACTTTATTATCTGCTTTAGATTATCCATTTTTAAGAGGTAAATATTCGTTTTCTTTTGTAATAATTATCGTGGAATTGTAAAACTAATCAACTTTTTTTCGTTTTTTTTACCTGATAAAGAGCTGGCGAAGACCTAAGCCGACAAACATTAACGGTGACGGCGTCTAAAACAAAAAACTTCGGCAACATCTCAAATATATTGTAAACCGGCAAAGTTTTCAGTTGCTTGTTAAATTAAGGTAATAAATACCAAAAGCAGAAATAGTCCGAATAAATTCGAAAAACAACAAAATGTATTGAAATTTAAGTATGGGAACGACACTGTGTAAAGAACTACAAACTTAATCTCAAAATTAGATTTATTTTACACAAGCTTACACCCTCCCTAATAACAGTGTTAGCAATATCGCTAAAATATTTGTTTACTCTCTAAACACTGGTTTTAAAAAATCGCTGCAATTAACATAAAAAACAGCTAAATTACCCATACTGCCTGCAAATTGGCGGAAAAGCTAAAAAAAGAAACAAAAAAACTAGAGAAAAAGAAAAATACGAAAACAAAACAATTATTATTGCAGGCAGGTGATGAAAGGAAAAACGGAAAAACAAAGCAAAGGAAAATTCCTGCAGGAAAATCAACATTTGTACAACATACGACACACAAAGGACAAAGGGAAACTGTACCAGCTGCTTTTTACAAGCAGGCATTTAGATATTAAATTACGCAGTATTAGATAAGAATCGATCGGTAAGGGATCGTTTTAAGACGAAGTTGAAAAAGTTGAATATTTTTTTTTGTTTATTTGCAAATAAAAAAAGGCAAATAATAATTGTGAAAATAACAAAATGACTACACCACAAAATACAAGAATAGCATTAGCTGACCGTTTAGAAGCCTTACGAGTGGCCACCACCCCAACAAATAACCATAGACCAGATGAACCAACACCAGCCTCTATATTTGCCTCTTCGCTGATGGACAACAATACAAATGTAGCTTTGGCACAGGATTTTGAAAGTTTAATACCCTCACCGGATGAATTGATAATAAGACAACGCGGGCGACGGCGTCCTTTAATAGACTGGACTCCTGAACAGGCCGCAGCCACTACCAATTCCGTAATGCGTAATCCGTTTCAAAGAACACCCACTAAAATGCCTTTAAATACAAATATGATCTTGAGGAGTTCGCCGCGAAAACGTTTGACCATGGGTAGTACACCACCCGAACCAGCGGGTATGTGCTTTGGCGCCAATACAAATTCACCCACAAAACTTAATGCCAAACAAAAACTGTGGCCCGGAACGCCGGTCGTAAAGAGATCACGATTGTGTGAAGATGAAAAACCTATAGCTCAGCTGAATGAGGAATTGCCTTTAGCCACTTTACTGCAGGGTTTGTCACAGCAACAGTTGATACAGTTGATAGTGGGAAAATTAGTGGCTGGAAATCCCAAAGCGGAGGCTGAATTAAGGGCCCAACTACCAACACCTGATATCGAGTAAGTTTTTTTTAAATGTTTCTTTAGATTTCTTTATTACACCATAATGCCTTACAGAACCATGGAGCAGGAACTCCTACATGCTAAACGCATGATCTTCAAATCTCTACCCACCTCGCGTTTATGCAAGAAAACCGATAGTACTGCATATACGCGGGCCTCCCTACATCTCAATGAATTTAAACGTTTGGTCACACAACACACTAAACAACTGCATGATTCTGCACATTGGGATGCTTTGCTCGACTATGTATTTATGGCCTGGCCATGTGTTAAGGCCACCCCCAATTGGGATAATGCCACACATAATACTATACGTCGGCAATGCTTTAAACTACTAACTTGTGCCTGTATGGCGGCTGTTAAATGTGGTGGCACACGTTTGGGTTCAACACGTCTTCATACTCTAGAGCGTAGTTTGCGCGATTGGTCTCAGGATTATGAAGATGTTCTGTCATGTATTAATACTCTAAATAAGGCTTTGTCAAAAGGACGTACAAGTCTTTAAGACCAATTTTATATTTGTATAGCAATTTACTTTTTTAAATATTTAATTTTAATTCTTATTTTTAAATTTAGTAGACTTTACTAAAACTAGATGTTTTAGTACAAGTTTGTTTATACTCAACATGTCCTAGTTTGTAAGTTAAAAACAAACATATTTTTAAAACAAAAATTAGTTTTAGGTTTTATACTTATATATCCGATTCCTCTAATACTTAAAAGCATAAGTTAGCGGAAGTCTTCGTATCACAATTTGTTATTATATTCAAGTTTTAAGTTTATTAACCCTGTATTTGCCATATTTTTTTTATTAAACTTTTTTATTTTTAACATAATTTAAAACATTACATCTTATGCAATATTTAAGCAATATATTTATGTGAATGTTTTATTTTTATTTTCGCCCCCACCAAATACCAAAATTCGTTATTCAAAATTTCCTTATATTTTTATGTTTTGATACCAAAAGTATTTTTTTTTTTATTTTATTCGTATGAACAAAATTTTCATCTCATTTACCTCAAGTCATATTTTTAATTTTTATTTTTTTTTTCATTTTATTTTATTATTATTTTTTTATGTGAAATTAAATTTTGTAATTATTTTTTTATACAACAAACCACACATAATAAATTTAATAAAGTGTTTTATTTATTGGACTAGCGACTAAAACAAATCGATCAAATTATACTATAGACTATACTTAAGAACAATCTATAGAACAAACTAAAGACAATTTATAGACAAACTCTGGACCAAACTATATACCAACTATAGACAAGACTACAGACTAAGCTATTGACTAGACTACAAACCAGAGTATTGAACCAGTTCTTGGCCCAGTTCTTGGCCCAATCGTGAACATGACATTAGACCAAACTAATATCATGTCGAAACAAATATACTAAACTATAATATAGTCTAGTCTATAGACCTAACTATAGAGTAGGCTATAGACTTGACTATAGACTATGAACTAGACTATAGACTAAACTATAAACTGGACTACAGAATAGACTATAGACAAGATTGTTGCCTAGACTTTACACCAGACTTTAGACTAGAATATAATAGAATATAGACTATAGACTTAACTCTACAGAGTATGAACTAGATTAGGCTGTAGGCTACACTGTAGACTTGGCTATAGACTAACTATGTATTAGACTATAAACCTAACTAAAGACTATGAACTAGACTATAGACTAGACTATTGACTAGTCTATAGACTATGTATGCTATAATGTAGACTTGACTATAGACTAACTATAGATTAGAGTATAGACTTAACTATAGTCTTTGAACTAGACTGTAGGCTATAATGTAGACTTGACTATAGACTAACTATATATAAGACTATAGACTACAATGTAAACTAGACTATAGGCTAGATTATATACTAATCTATAGACTTAACTATAGATTAAGCTATAGACCTGTCTATAGAATATAAACTAGACTAGACTGTAGCCTATACGGTAGACTTGGCTATAAACTAACTATTGACTAGTCTATAGACTATGAACTAGACTATAAACCAGATTATAGACTAGACTATAGACTAAACTATCGTCTACACTATGGACTAGACTTATGACTAGACTTATGACTAGACTATAGACTAGACTATAGACTAGACTATAGACTAGACTTTAGACTAGACTATAGACTAGGCTATAGAATAGACTATAGACTGGACTATAGCCTAACTATAGACTAGACTATACACTAGGCTATAGACTACACTATAGACTATCTATGACTATGGACTAGACTAAACTAGACTAGACTATAGACTAGACTATAGACTAGATTATAGACTAGACTATAGACTAAACTATAGACTAGACTATAGACTAGACTATAGACTAGACTATAGACTAGACTATAGACTAGACTATAGACTAGACTATAGACTAGACTATAGACTAGACTATAGACTAGACTATAGACTAGACTATAGACTAGACTATAGACTAGACTAGACTAGACTATAGACTAGACTAGACTATAGACTATCCATGACTATGCACTAGACTATAGACTAAACTAGACTATAGACTAAACTAGACTATAGACTAAACTAGACTATAGACTAAACTAGACTATAGACTAAACTAGACTATAGACTAAACTAGACTATAGACTAGACTATAGACTAGACTATAGACTAGACTATAGACTAGATTATAGATAGACTATAGACTAGACTATAGACTAGACTATAGACTAGACTATAGACTAGACTATAGACTAGACTATAGACTAGACTATAGACTAGACTATCGACTAGACTATAGACTAGACTATAGACTAGACTATAGACTAGACTATAGACTAGACTATAGACTAGACTATAGACTAGACTATAGACTAGACTATAGACTAGACTATAGACTAGACTATAGACTAGACTATAGACTAGACTATAGACTAGGCTATAGACTAGACTATAGACTAGACTATAGACTAGGCTATAGACTAGACTATAGACTATCCATGACTATGGACTAGACTATAGACTAAACTAGACTATAGACTAGACCATAGACTACACTATAGACTATCTATGACTATGGACTAAATATAGACTAAACTAGACTATAGACTAGACTATAGACTAGACTATAGATTAGACTATAGACTAGACTATAGACTAGACTATAGACTAGACTATAGACTAGACTATAGACTAGACTATATAGACTAGACTATAGACTAGACTATAGACTAGACTATAGACTAGACTATAGACTAGACTATCTATGACTATGGACTATAGACTAAACTAGACTATAGACTAGACTATAGACTAGACTATAGACTACACTATAGACTATCTATGACTATGGACTAAATATAGACTAAACTAGACTATAGACTAGACTATAGACTAGACTATAGATTAGACTATAGACTAGACTATAGACTATCTATGACTATGGACTAAATATAGACTAAACTAGACTATAGACTAGACTATAGATTAGACTATAGACTAGACTATAGACTAGACTATAGACTAGACTATAGACTAGACTATAGACTAGACTATAGACTAGACTATAGACTAGACTATAGACTAGACTATAGACTAGACTATAGACTAGACTATAGACTAGACTATAGACTAGACTATAAACTAGACTATAGACTAGACTATAGACTAGACTATAGACTAGACTATAGACTAGACCATAGAATAGACAATGGATTAGACTATATGCTAGCCTGGTCTATAGCCTAATCCATAGTCAGTCTAGTTTAAAGTCTAGTCTATAGTCTAGTCTATAATCTAGTCTATAGTGTAGTCTATAGTCTAGTCTATAGCCTAGTGTATAGTCTATAGTTAGGCTATAGTCTAGTCTTTAGTCTAGTCTAGACTCTAGTATATAGTCTAGTCTATATACTATAGACTAGAATATAGACTAGACTATAGACTAGATTATAGACTAGACTATAGACTATACTATAGACTATGAGACAGACTAGACAATGGACTAGACTATAGAACTTTGTTCTAGACTAGATTATATAATATACAAGACTATAGACCAGACTATAGACTATACTATAGACTAGACTATAGACTAGACCATAGACTAGACTATAGAATGGATTATAGACCAGACTACAGACTACACTATGAAGTATAGTAGACTGGAATATAGACTAGACTATTGTCTAGACTATAGACTAGTTTATAGACCAGACTGTAGACTATAGAGTGGAATATAGATTAAACTATAGACTAGACTATAGCGTAGGTTATAGACTAGACTGTGTATTAGACAAGTCTTTAGACTTGACTATAAATAATAGACTACACTATAGGGTAAACTAAAGACTAGACTATACTATAGACTAGACTTTAGACTGGACTACACTATGGACATGACTATAGACTATGCTAGGGACTAGGCTATAAACTAGACTGTAGACTAGACTATTTTATAGACAGTAAAGTAGGCTGTAGCCTCGACTATACATAAGACTATAGACTAGATAATAGACTGGACTATAGAATAAATTTTAGACTAGACTATAGGCTACACTATAAACTTAACTATAAAGTTGCCTACACAATTTCTTTCATTAAATCTTCTGCTAACAACCCAATATATTTTAAACAATAATAATAAAACACCTTTTTAAATTTTTCTTTAAATACATTTTATTGAAAACCATATTTGGTATATTAATTTATTTGTTCAATTTTTCGAGATTTTTTCTTTTTTTTTTGTACAATTGTTGTATTTTCTTAACAAATATATTTATTTTATATGAATATATTTTTTTTTATTAAAATAATATATAGTTACAAATGACATCAATTAAATTGATAGGTTAGGTGTATGTATTATAATTAAGTAGTTTATTTTAAATTCTTTATTTTAAGTAAGTTGAATTTTTAAATTTTAATATGGACACAGCTGAGGAATATAAAAAATTATTAATACAATTTAAATAATTACTAGCAATAAATTTAACATATTTTTATAGTTAAATCTTAAAAACGAATCAAATTACTAAATACTTTTGCTATAAAAAACTAAAGGTATAATCACAGTAAGTGTTTCAAACATTTAACAAATTTAACTTGATATTGACTTTGCTTTTTACAACATCTTATCTGTGATTATCCCTAATTGAGGCTCATATTATCGTTTATACATCTTATGTATCTATATGACTAAATAACACTCATATTATTTATGTTTAGAATTATTAAATTAAATTAAAAAAAAAAAACGAAAACAACAACAATATTTATTCCATTTTATTATTATAATACGAGATTTTGTTTAGTTATACGATCGCCTAATTAGTAGATATAGCAAGGAGATAAGGGCCAGTACATAATAGTTATGAAACAATGTTTTACTGTAGACAGAAGATCCAGCTGATATATGACGCCCTGTAATTAAAATAAATATATAATTGTTGTTTATTAATCAAATACAATAAAGTATAAAAGTAATATGATTATAAATATTTTATAATAGAAAGTTTAATAACACAAAGTGGGCAGAACTTTTAATACATTATAAACTAAACGTTAGAAAAACCATAGACCAAACTATTGACCAACTATAGACTAGACTATAGACTAGACTATAGACTAGACTATAGCCTAGACTATAGACTAGACTATAGACTAGACTATAGACTAGACTATAGACTAGACTATAGACTAGACTATAGATTAGACTATATACTAGACTATAGACTAGACTAGATAGACTAGACTATATACTAGACTATAGACTAGACTATAGAGACTATAGACTAGACTATAGACTAGACTATAGACTAGACTATAGACTAGACTATAGACTAGACTATAGACTAGACTATAGACTAGACTATAGACTAGACTATAGACCTAGACTATAGACTAGACTATAGACTAGACTATAGACTAGACTATAGACTAGACTATAGACTAACTATAGACTAGACTATAGACTAGACTATAGACTAGACTATAGACTAGACTATAGACTAGACTATAGACTAGACTATAGACTAGACTATAGACTAGA